GCAAGCCTTTGATAGGGTATGGCACCCCGGTCTATTGCACAAACTCAAGGCAGACTTACCAGCATCTTTCTTTAAATTTCTCAAATGGTTTATCTCCTGCAGGCAATTTTACACCAAATGCGGTGACGCTACCTCGTCTGTTAAGAGCATCAGAGCCGGAGTCTCGCAAGGCAGCGTTCTGGGACCACTACTATATACAGTGTACACAGCCGACATGCCTGTCAGCCCGGATCAGTGCCTCTTGGTCGCCACTCCCTAGACAGCTGGCTGAAAAGGTGGAACATCGCGTTCAACCAAGAAAAATCGACCAATACCACTTTCATGCTGCGCAAAGGAAACTGCCCCCAGTTTTCCTGGATGGATTACTGATTCCGGTGAACACAACGCCAAATTATCTAGGCATCACACTCAACAGACGGCTGACATGGCGCGAACACATTGTGCGCAAAATAAAACAGGCTAATAAAAAGCTGAAGCAATATTACTGGCTGATCAGCAGGCACTCCGAAATGAAACTTCGCGTAAAGCTGTTACTCTATAAAACAATTATCAAGCCATCTTTGGGGTACCGCCAGCAGGAGCAACCTGAGCATTATTCAGCTGTTTCAAAGTAAATCTGCAAATTTTATCTAACGCTCATATTTACCATGAAAATATCACCTTTCACAGCCAGCTTAATATTCTTTGGGTTATAGAGGTAAATGCCAAGTTGAGTGATCGCAACCACCCAAATAATCTTGCCACCAACCTTTTGGACAACAGCTCAACAACGAGGCGGATCAAAAGGAAACACTCTTTTGAGCTCCCCCAAAGAGTAGATGTCTAACTCCACACCTTCCACTGCCCCCCCTATACTAAACAAGCAAGGATACACAAATATAATACAAAAATACTAAACTGCCAACGTACGCAGAACAAATTTAATTATTGCCCAAAAGCGGGTAGATCTTAAATTAAAATAATTATTATGTTAAAACGAGAAAGAAGGGCTATCTTCGGCACGCCGAAGATTCAATACCCTTGCAGACCCAACCTTTTCATAATGCTCATAGTGATTTGCCCGTATTTAAGAAGCACATAGTTAATGCCGAGTATGGCTGAAATTTTTTATACCCTTGCAGAGGGTATTATAATTTTATCGTGAAATGTGTAACGCATAGAAGGAGAAATCTCCGACCCCATAAAGTATATATATTCTTGATCAGTATCAACAGCCGAGTTGATATAGCCATGCCCGTCTGTCTGTTTCTATGCGAACTAGTCTCTCAGTTTTCAAGCTATCTTTATGAAACTTTGCAGAAGCCCCTTTTTTTTGTTGCACGCAGTACATATTTCAAGACCAGCTGGATCGGACCACTATATCATATAGCTGCCATAGGAACGATCGGTCGAAAAGTAGGTTCTTGTATGAAAAACATTTTTGTTTATAAAGATATCTTGACTAAACTCGGTATTTATTAGTTTTACTACGCTCCCCATATATATGCAAAATCCTATTAAGATCGGACAAACATATCATATAGCTGCCATAGGAACGATCGGTCGAAAATTAAGTTTTTGTATGGAACATTTTTATGTTTTTCAAGATATCTTGACCAAACTCGGTATTTATTAGTTTTACTACGCTCCCCATATATTTGCAAAATCCTATTAAGACCGGACAACTATATCATATAGCTGCCATAGGAACGATCGGTCGAAAATTAAGTTGTTGTATGAAAAACTTTTATGTTTTTAAAGTTTTTTTTGTCTGTGCTTCTTAGATTATGAGTCATCAGTGGCATGATAATTCACATCGGAGTAATATAAGTTATTTTTGTTTTTGGTACAAGTGGTTGATATTGAATGTGTTCAGAAAAGAGGCTAAAAATGATACGTTTTCAGCAACCAAGGTGCGTTTAAGTTAAATATTCGCAAACGTTTGTGAAAATTCAGATTTTGTACTTATATTACAGCTGAATAATTTAATTGCAATACAAAAGATCGGTATTAATTATGTTTCTTATGGCCTCTGCCCACTGAACACATTTCTGAAAATATCACATTTTTGCAAAATGTGTAAAATGGGGCCTGTACGTTTCCCCATAAGAAAACACATTTCACACATTTTTCAAAAATGTCACATTTTTTAAAAATGTGTAAATTCGCCCCGAACATTTCGTGTATTTTGCGATGATTAATCGAGATTTCTATCGATGTTGTGAAAAATGTAAACATAAACCAGCTGATATTGCAACGAAGGCAAGCGGTAACTTTAAATTATAATTTTAAATTTTAATCCCACAGTTTTTAACATTTAAAGTTGGCCAAATCCCGCAAAGGGTCTATTAAACGGAGCCCCTACTTCGGGGCCGTATTATTTGACTTTTGGAAGGAAATCTGTGTAAATTAAAGCAACTCGATCAGCTTTAAAGAAACTTTAAAGAAACAGTACCGGTGGAACACCAATATGTAAAACTTGAAAATGTGGCATTTTTAAGCCCATTGGAGAAAGGCTATTAATCATTTCAAATATGTTTACATTTTATGTTTACATTTTTCACAACATCGATAGAAATCTCGATTAATCATCGCAAAATACACGAAATGTTCGGGGCGAATTTACACATTTTTAAACAATGTTACATTTTTGAAAAATGTGTGAAATGTGTTTTCTTATGGGGAAACGTACAGGCCGCATTTTACACATTTTGCAAAAATGTGACATTTTCAGAAATGTGTTCAGTGGGCAGAGGCTATAAGAAACATAATTAATACCGATCTTTTGTATTGCAATTAAATTATTCAGCTGTTATATAAGTACAAAATCTGAATTTTCACAAACGTTTGCGAATATTTAACTTAAACGCACCTTGGTTGCTGAAAAACGTATCATTTTTAGCCTCTTTTCTGAACACATTCAATATCAACCACTTGTACCAAAAACAAAAATAACTTATATTACTCCGATGTTAATTATCATGCCACTGATGACTCATAATCTAAGAAGCACAGACAAAAAAAACTTTAAAAACATAAAAGTTTTTCATACAACAACTTAATTTTCGACCGATCGTTCCTATGGCAGCTATATGATATAGTTGTCCGGTCTTAATAGGATTTTGCAAATATATGGGGAGCGTAGTAAAACTAATAAATACCGAGTTTGGTCAAGATATCTTGAAAAACATAAAAATGTTCCATACAAAAACTTAATTTTCGACCGATCGTTCCTATGGCAGCTATATGATATGTTTGTCCGATCTTAATAGGATTTTGCATATATATGGGGAGCGTAGTAAAACTAATAAATACCGAGTTTAGTCAAGATATCTTGAAAAACATAAACATTTTCCATACAAAAACTTAATTTTCGACCGATCGTTCCTATGGCAGCTATGTATATGATATAGTTGCCCGATCTTAATAGGATTTTGCATATATATGGGGAGCGTAGTAAAACTAATAAATACCGAGTTTGGTCAAGATATCTTGAAAAACATAAAAATTTTCCATACAAAAACTTAATTTTCGACCGATCGTTCCTATGGCAGCTATGTATATGATATAGTTGCCCGATCTTAATAGAATTTTGCATATATATGGGGAGCGTAGTAAAACTAATAAATACCGAGTTTGGTCAAGATATCTTGAAAAACATAAAAATGTTCCATACAAAAACTTAATTTTCGACCGATCGTTCCTATGGCAGCTATATGATATAGTGGTCCGATCCAGCTGGTTTTGATATATGAACTGCGTGCAGCAGAAAGAGGGACTTCTGCAAAGTTTCATAAAGATAGCTTTAAAACTGAGAGACTAGTTTGCATAGAAACAGACAGACGGGCAGCCGGACAGATGGACAGCCGGACAGACGGACATGGCTATATCGACTCGGCTGATGATACTGATCCTGGTCGGAGATGTCTCCTTCTATGCGTTACACATTTCACGACAAAATTATAATACCCTCTGCAAGGGTATAAAAACAACCACACAGTAAAACAGGTAGGCGGATATAACTCAGTCGATTCAGCTTGCCGTCCTAATCAAGAATATATATACTTTATGGGGTCAAAAGTGATTCCTTCCTTGATTATCATTTTAAAATTAAATTCCTTGGGACAATTTTTATTGGGGCATCTCAATTGAAAATCGGTGACTTAAAATTCGCTGCAAAGCATGCACTCTCAATTTTTTAATTCGCCGCCTCTAAATGTCTGTGCTCTTTTTTGGATGTAAGGCGCGTAACTATATACATATATATTCTATATATATATTCAAGATCCTTAAAATAAATGATGGTATCATGTATATATCACTGCACTATTCTAGCCACCTACAGCCACCAGCGTAACAATAGTTTATAAAATCATTTTCTTATCCTATCCTATTTAAAACAAATACCAACCTTGTGTGCACATCTAAATGAGGATCTCATTTTGACCCACTCTTTCGCTCGCACTAGCTTTATCTCTGTCTTGTGTACATTTTGTTTGTATTATTTAATGGAAATCCGTCAAAATTAAACTTGAAAACATCAAAAGCGCGATCTCAGACAAATGTCGAGATCAAAAAAGGCTGCCAAGATCGAACAACAGCAAGAGCATCATAATATTTGGCACACAATATGAAAAGCGACTGACAAACATAATTATGGGTGTATACAAAAAAGAAAATCAACAAAAAATAACTAAATAATTAATAAAATTGAGAGCTAAGAATGAAAATGGCAAGGCATGCCAGACGGGATGCCGCCTACGTCATCGAGATGCGCCATAAATATGGCACATGGCACATGGCACCATGACACACGGCACTTCCCCAAGAGCAGCACACTGAGAATTCTCGCATTAATATATAGACCAGCGGAGAATTCGAAAGATTGCCAGTTGGAGAGCGGACACAGTTGGGCCGCGCGGTCAGTGTGCGTGCTTAGCGCTCCAAGACTGGATGCCTGCGGTCGCTTGGAGCAACATCTGAAAATATAATAAAACAATCAACAAAAAAAAATAAATTTTACGTAATTTTGTAGAGGTGTGTGTGTGTGTGCCAGTATTTATATATGTACTTACTACAAATATATAGCTAAAAATTGAACAACGAAATGGCCGCTGCATTTAGAAAATTCAATTAGAGCGCGTTTAAGCATAACATTTGTTGTTGCTTTTTTGTTTGTTTTTTTGTTGGAGAAAAATGCATTTGTATCCAGTTTACATTTATGTGGTGTTATTTTTAAAATATGCCCTCGCCATTGCCGCTGAGGGGCACACGAAAATCACAGTGGGTACGTTTCACTTAACATAAGCAAAACAAGAAAAACAAGAAAATAAACAACAACAATTTATTGTAGGTGCTATTTTCTATGAAAATGAAAAGGAAATCGAAATGAGTTTCGATCAGGCCTTTCGCGAGGTCAATAATTTAAAGTTCTCCGATCTTCAGTTCCTGACGATCAAACGTTATATGCCCACCAACGATAGTTTCCAGCTGCAACAGATCGGTAAGTGCGACCCATTGATTTATTTATTTATTTGTTTACTCAGTACTCTGATATGGGACACATTTTCCGCGTATAGCTTGTGAACTAATTTCTAATGGCGTAGCGGCTATTTTCGGACCAAGTTCAAAGGCAGCTAGTGGTACGTAGTGCTCGTGTTCTGTGCTCATTGATCAACAAATGTGTTGATTGTATTTTGTAATCGCTTCTGTTCTGTTTTTCTTCTTGTTCTCGTTCAGATATTGTTGCGCAAATCGCAAACACGACCGGCATTCCACATATAGAATACGATTGGAAACTCGAGGCTACGCGCCAGGAGCATTTGAATCACCAAATGACGGTTAATGTGGCGCCCTCCTTATCCGCATTGTCGCGTGCCTATTTCGAGATTATCAAAACCAACTACGAGTGGCGCACATTTACGCTAATCTATGAAACGCCAGAGGGTAAGTTTGCGGAGAGGTATTTTCGGTAGAGATTTATATTTGGGTTGGGATCTAGTCAGTAGCTAACCGCTAGCCCAAGTTACATGAGGATCTAAATTATACCATAGTTTACAAGATTACATTATTTTCTTCTGACACGAAATTCATCGTTTGTTTATTTTTCAGGGCTCGCTCGCTTACAAGATCTTATGAACATACACGCCCTGAACACGGACTATCTCAAGTTGCGCAATCTGGCCGATTATGCAGAGGATTATCGCGTCTTATGGAAGGAGGCAGATGAAACATTTCATGAACATCGCATTATTTTGGACTGTGAGCCAAAATCGTTAAAGGAACTGCTGAAAATCTCCGTTGATTTCAAGCTTCAAGGCCCATTTCGAGTAAGTATTTAAAGTTTTCTGCTATTGCAGCGAGTCTAAAGAATCTTAACTTACAGAATTGGTTTCTCACCCATCTGGATACGCACAGTTCGGGCTTGAAGGATATTTATAATGAAGACTTCAAGGCGAACATAACATCGGTACGCTTGAAAATTGTCGATCCCAATCCCTATGAGCGCAAGAAAACGCGCATCACCAAAGTGGATGTGAGTAGCGCCTATAAAAATGAAGACTTGCGTTTCACCTTACCAAATATTTTCTTAACTGTGTAGCAAATACTTGGCAGCCAAATGATGTTGCCCGTTCTTATCTATGATGCGGTGGTGCTGTTCGCCAATTCGGCGCGCAATGTGATCGCTTCCATGGAACAGTTTTATCCGCCCAACAGCCACTGTGGCCTGGGCTACGGCAATGCCTGGATAATGGGAGGCTATATAGTGCAAGAAATGAAAACCATATCGGAGGATGATGTTGAGCCGCATTTCAAAACCGAGAACATGAAAATTAATGAGTATGGACAGCGTACACATTTCAATCTGGAGATCTATAAGCCCACGGTTAATGAACCGTTGATGGTCTGGACGCCAGATAATGGCATTAAAATACGTCGACTGAATCCGGAGCTGGAAAGCTCGGCAGCCACGCCGGATTTCTCGGTGCAGCGCAAGGTCTACACGGTGGTGACACATCATGAGGAGCCGTACTTTATGATGAAGTAGGTTTAACTGGCATATTTTTTAATAAACATTAACTATTTGGTCTTATTTGCAGGGAAGATCACGAGAACTATAGGGGACAGGAAAAGTATGAGGGCTATGCCGTCGATCTGATTAGAAAGCTGTCCGAGCTGATGGAGTTCGATTATGAGTTCATGATTGTCAATGGCAACGGCAAATACAATCCCGAGACCAAGCAATGGGATGGCATTATACGCAAGCTCATAGATCATGTGAGTTGCGTTTTCTTTAACCTGATTCTCTTAGTTTTTATTCTATGATATATTTGTATGCTATAGCATGCCCAAATTGGAGTCTGTGACCTGACGATTACCCAGCTGCGCCGTTCGGCAGTGGATTTTACGGTGCCCTTTATGCAGCTGGGCATTAGCATATTACATTACAAGAGTCCGCCGGAACAGAAGAATCCATTTGCTTTCTTGGAGCCCTTTGCACCAGAGGTCTGGATCTATATGATTTTTGCGCAGCTCGTGATGACGTTGGCCTTTGTGCTGATTGCCAGGTGAGCTGTGATGCTGTTGACTCTCTATCTGATTTTAATTGAAATAACTTTTACTCAGACTCTCCTATCGCGAGTGGATGCCGCCAAATCCGGCTATTGTCGATCCAGATGAGCTGGAGAATATATGGAATGTGAATAACAGCTGCTGGCTTATGGTGGGCTCCATTATGCAACAGGGCTGCGATATATTGCCCAGGTTTGACAGGCAGGAAAAGAGTTCGACACAAATTTAAAACTCTTGTGCATTCCAGGGGTCCACACATGCGCATTTTAACTGGCATGTGGTGGTTCTTCGCACTAATGATGCTCAGCACTTATACAGCAAATTTGGCTGCCTTTTTGACCAGCAACAAGTGGCAGAGCACCATCAAGAGCTTGCAGGATCTGATTGAACAGGATGAGGTCAAGTTTGGCAGCATGCGCGGCGGCAGCACCTCGTTATTCTTCTCCGAATCGAATGACACGGACTATCAGCGTGCCTGGAATCAAATGAAAGGCTTCAATCCCTCTGCATTTACCAGCAACAACAAGGAGGGCGTCGATCGTGTACGCAAGGAGAAGGGCAACTTTGCCTTCCTCATGGAAACCACCAGCATGACCTACAACATTGAACGCCACTGCGATTTACGACAGATTGGCGGGCAAATTGGTGAAAAGCATTACGGCCTGGCCGTGCCATTGGGTAAGCTAAGAGCTTATGAGTTGTATTAGCTAAAAGAGAATATGTTAGTTAGTCTGTGTACCCTGTTGCTAATGTATGTAAGAGGCAAAAGTAGAGATCTCCGACCATGTATATATATTCTTGATCAGCTTCAACAGCCGAGTCGATCTAGTCGATCTTTAAACGTAGGTCCCTCGCAGATCAAAAATGTATTAAATCCTCGATATCTTTTCCTTGAGATCGATAAAAATCTGTATCGAAAATCAGTTTTTTGATCATAACTCGAAGCTTATAGAAGCTAGAGAGACCATTTCCAGAATATTTCTTTTCATCTTCTTTTGTTGAATATATATTAAATATATTTATATATTTAAGTCTCCTGATGGTACTCTCATCTAATACCGATCTATATTATATGCATATATGTTCTTTTTCAGGCGCCGACTATCGCACCAATTTGAGCGTGTCGATTCTGCAGCTCAGCGAGAAGGGTGAGCTCTATAAGCTGAAGAACAAATGGTGGAAGAATCACAATGTGACCTGTGAATCATTTCACGAGGTAGATGGCGATGAGCTGTCCATTATAGAGCTGGGCGGTGTGTTTCTGGTACTGGTTGGTGGACTACTAACTGGCGTCATTTTGGGCATCTTTGAGTTTCTGTGGAATGTGCAGAATGTGGCCGTGGAAGAGCGTGTCACGCCCTGGCAGGCCTTAAAGGCCGAGCTGATGTTTGCCCTAAAGTTTTGGGTGCGCAAGAAGCCGATGCGCATATCGAGCAGTAACAGCAGCGGCGGTGACAAATCCTCCAGACGCTCCTCGGCGTCCCGGCGCAGTTCCAAGGAGAAGACACGCAGCAAGACGGCCAGTTAGTGAATAAGTTGGAGAATTTAGTTAAGTTTCTGAATTGCACTCGAGTTGAATAAACCATTTCGTTTTCTTGAGAAATTCAGGCAAGATTTAGTAATGATTGTCTAGCGCATATCGCTTAGTATATATATATATGAATATATATATAGAAATTCTAGAGGGTGTTTTTTTTTTATTGGTGACCATATTTTTTTCATTTCTGATTTTTTACACACCCTACACAATTTGCTGCGTGGGCTTTTGGCACGCACTAGTTGTGTTCACATTTGCCTGCCATTTACTTGGCTCATTTCCAGCTGCAGCTCATGCCACAGTCGACATGGTCTAGAGTGTGAGGCGACTTGTCCATAAAACAAATGGCTCTTGGGCCTCCGCTGCCACCCGTTTCTGCCCAAGAGATGGCTGCTAAAATAAGCAGCACTCTCCCGGCGATCGCGGTGGTTGCTTCTTTCCAAAAAAACACTTGCCTCAGTGCGTCGTGAGCAGCGCCCCCGACCAGGTCCCAGTTGGCATCAATAGGCTTCTCCTGGTGCTGTCGTCATCGCATGGAATCTTTTTTACGCATCATTTTTTTCTGTCTTTCTTAAATTGGATACTTATATATGGATAAAGTGAATTGTGAAGTGTTTTTTGTGCATCGCATTATATAAACGCCAAAAATAATAACTATGAACGTATTTAAAGTTTAAAATTAATTGAGCTTAGCTTTTAAGAAATGTTCTCACTAAAGTTCCTAGTTTTGGCCGCACTCGTCGCAGGCAGCGGCGCGAATAATGATAATGGATTGGTGATTAAAATAGGTAATATCCAAATTTCATTATTAAAATCTTAATATTTTTATAGTAATACTCTCTCTATATAATTTGTAGGCGCCATTTTCTTTGATACTGAAATGGATCTGGCCGAGGCTTTTGATGCAGCTGTGGAGGAGGTAAATGCTTTGACAACAGACCTGAAACTGGAACCCATCAAGCACTATGTAACTGTGGATGATAGCATTGTGCTGCAGGATTTATGTGAGCATAATGAGCACACTTTATCAGATCATTGTGATATACCATATTTTTGTCAGCTTGTGACTTGATTGGAAATGGTGTCGCTGCTATTTTGGGACCAAGTTCAAAGACAACCAGCGGTAAGTTTACTTTTTAACATTGTTGTGCCTGGCCAGCGGCTAAAAGTTAAATTATTTTTAAACAAAATCGGCGTCATAAAATTATGTCTAGGCGGCTGTTAATGTTGTCGTTGTCCGCTAGACCGGAGCACATGTCTAAAAAAAAAAACAGAGAGAGAGAAACAGAGAACGAGAGAGAGAGAGAGAAACACGACATTGTGAGCGAACGAGGGAGAGCAATTTTTGGGAGAGCTGCCTGCTATAGTTTCTCAAAATATGCCCACTAGCCTCGTTAATGATTTTTGATGTTTCTCGTTAAATTGGCCAAACAAACATTAGATCCAAATATTTTTGCAGTAAATAAACGAACGCATATACTATGCACGCTACCAAATGGGACACTTTCGAGTGGTTTTTTGGCCTGTTGCCAAATAAATATGTTCGTTTATTTCATTGCGTTTATTTTGCTCGGCACTTTCATTGTGTGTTTTGTTAGTTCGCCAAGCTGTTCTATACAAAAATATACACAATGAGTCGTGAGTTGATATTTGTGTAGCAACAAACTATTGATTACCCTTTCTTTTACACAAAAACTAATAGATATTGTTGAGGTCCTGTGCAACATGACGGGCATTCCACATCTCCAGTTCGACTGGCATCCACAACAATCCCCACGTGAGCGTCTCAATCATCAGTTGACTATCAATGTGGCGCCCTCGGAACTGATAATCTCCATGGCCCTATCTGATATATTGCGCAGCAAGGCCTTTGATTGGAAGTCCTTTACTATTGCCTATGAACGGGATACGCGTAAGTAAATAAAATAATGTTGTCTGCAGAGAAGCTTAAGAATAAGCTATAAAGCTGCAATAATATAAATTAATTAATTAATAATAATTACCTGGAGAACTGGCCTTCGAGTTGAGTAACCTGCATAATATAATATGAAAAACTATATGCTAGAGACCTTAACATTTATAATTACAAGTTATTTTAAGTATACTTATGTTACCATTAATATCATTATCATTATCATTATCATTATCATTATCATTATCATTATCATTATCATTATCATTATCATTATCATTATCATTATCATTATCATTATCATTATCATTATCATTATCATTATCATTATCATTATCATTATCATTATCATTATCATTATCATTATCATTATCATTATCATTATCATTATCATTATCATTATCATTATCATTATCATTATCATTATCATTATCATTATCATTATCATTATCATTATCATTATCATTATCATTATCATTATCATTATCATTATCATTAGCATTATCATTATCATTATCATTATCATTAGCATTATCATTATCATTATCATTATCATTATCATTATCATTATCATTATCATTATCGTAATTATTTTATTGTTATTATTATCATTAATTATTTGGTTTTGAGCTCCTCAATAAACCTTGCTCGATTGTCTGTCTTCCGATTCCATTTAATAGTTTACAATTGCCTTTACAAATGCCTTAAATATGGGTTCCTTATCCTGTATCTATTTTTACCTTTTATTTACATTAGTTTTTTAATACTTTATTCTCTTACTCTTGGGGTAACTTATATAATTCCTACTTAATGTGAATGATATATTATAATTTAAATTGTTTTATTTTCTTGTATACATCATATTTTACTGAATCGAAAAAGTCTTATAATAATTAAAGCGTTATTCTGTTTTTTGTCATTTACAGATCTTGCCCGATTGCAGCACATTTTCGCTTGGAAGCAGCTACACAAAACCGGCATTAAGCTCCAGGAGTTTCAACGTGGCGATGATTATCGAATACTTTGGAAACGCATCAACAATGCGCGTGAGAAATTCGTGCTGCTTGACTGCCCCTCCGATATATTGGCGGATGTGATCAATGCCTCGATCAGTTTCAATATGACCGGCTCCTTTAATGTGTGTAACTATATTGTATTATCTGAAAAGCAATTTTATTAGGTTTTCCTATTTATATGCAGAATCTATTCCTAACCAATTTGGATACGCATGTCAGCGGTATTGATCGCTTCTACTCAAGTAAATTCACAGTTGCCGTTGCAGCTGTGAGGATTCGTTCCTATATTCCTCCACCCGTTCATGATGAGATTGATGTGTTTGACAATGAAGCCGACGATCGGGTAGGTTCATATTGATTAATCATTAAATAATAATAAAACTAACAATTTGTAATAAATTCCTACAACAGTTTGCCTCGTTGAGCACTCAGCTCGTCTACGATGCGGTGGTTCTGTTCTACAATGCTGTTCTACAATTAAGTCAGCATACCGGTTTCTACACACCACAGTTTAGCTGTGGGCGTGGCTTTTGGCAGCCCGGCCCACATTTAGTGCAACAAATGAAGCAGGTATGATTTGTGTTCATTTAAAAGGAATTTTTCCATTGTGAGAATTAGCAGTAAAAATCGTTCTATATATCCTTTGTATCATCTGTATTAAAGCTCACACCGAAGCAAATCAAGCCGCCGTATAAAACACAGCGACTGCAATTAACCCCGGATGGCCAGCGCGAGGACTTCAATTTGGAGGTCTACAATCCGATCATCGACCGTGTGACGCACATCTGGAACAAGGATTTTCAGCTGGTGGACATTGACAAGATCAGAGAGAACTCATCGCAGGCATTGAAACAGCGACGCCTTGAGAACAAGGAGGACTTTTCGCAAAAGCCCGTCCGATATACAGTTGCCACACGTGTGGGCAAACCCTATTTCAGCTGGCGGTTAGTACAACTATCATCAAGTTAAACTGTAGCTAAACTAATCGAAGCAATTAAAAGCGAGGAGCCGGAAGGCGTGCATTACGAGGGCAATGAACGTTTCGAGGGCTATGCCGTGGATTTGATCTATAAGCTGGCCGAGGAATGCAAATTTGATTTCAATTTCGAGCCAGTGAGGGATAATAAATATGGCAGCTATGATGCGGCCACCGATGAATGGGACGGCATAATTAGGCAGCTAATTGACAATGTGAGTGTGTGCGTGTGTGTGTGTTTGTGTGTGCATTAAATTAAGATTTAAATCATTTCCTCTTCACCTCGCAGAACGCACAGATTGGCATCTGTGACTTGACCATTACTCAGGCACGCCGTTCGGTTGTGGATTTCACGGTGCCATTTATGCAGCTGGGCATTAGTATCTTGTCGTACAAGCAGCCACCACCACAGGCGGATATTTATGGCTTTCTCAATCCCTACGGTGTGGATGTTTGGCTCTATGTAATGGTTGCCATGCTCATTACTGCGATGGCGCTGATTTTGGCCGGCCGCATGGATTCATACGAGTGGGAGCCACCGGTGCTGAATGAGAATAATGAACAGGAACGTGAAAATATCTGGCACCTGCACAATACCATGTGGCTTGTACTCGGCTCTATACTCAATCAGGGCTGTGATCTGTTGCCCAGGTGTGTAAATGTCTCCATTCGAAGCTTCAATTCTTATCTAAACCATTTGCTTTTTAGGGGTCTTCCCATGCGCCTGCTGACTGCCTTCTGGTGGATTTTCGCGCTGCTCATTTCGCAAACGTACATTGCCAAATTGGCTGCATTTATTACCTCCTCGAAGATGACGGGTAATATTGCCTCATTGCACGACCTGGTCGATCAGAATAAAGTGCAATTTGGCACGATACGAGGCGGTGCGACATCTGTTTATTTTTCGGAATCGAACGATACCGAAAATCGTATGGCCTGGAACAAAATGTTGTCGGTGAAACCGGATGCCTTCACCAAGAATAACGAAGAGGGTGTCGATCGTGTTAAGCTGAGCCGCGGTACCTATGCATTCCTCATGGAAACCACCAATCTGCAATACTATGTGCAACGCAATTGTGAGCTAACACAGATCGGGGAGAGTTTCGGAGAGAAGCATTACGGAATTGCGGTGCCACTGAGTGAGTAAAGAGTTTGCATATTGATAAAGGGTTAGGGCTGTCTTTAATCCAAAAACAAAACCCATTGTGCACCCTATTTAGATGCCAACTTTCGTTCGAATCTAAGTGTGGGCATTCTTAAGTTGAGCGAGCGGGGCGTGCTCTATAATCTGCGCAACAAATGGTTCAATGCGAACGACACGGTTTGTGATAACATGGGCTCGAGCAACGATGATGGTCAGTTCGACATGGATGCTGTCGGCGGCCTATTTGTGGTGCTAATTGTGGGCATATTTGTCTCTTTTCTGATCGGCCTTGCCGAGTTCTTGTGGCGTGTGCATCGCACTGCGGTCAAAGAGAGGGTAAGGACTGTTGCTCGATCTGTCAGTTTTTTTTTTTTGTATATGGAGTGCCTCTTGCAGGTGAAGCCCATGGTGGCATTGAAGGGTGAGCTTAACTTTCTCATACGCGTCTGGCTGAGACGAAAACCGTTGCGCACCTATCGTGAGAGCCGTGACTCCACATCGACGGGCTACTCATCCCTCGGACAAATGTCCAGTACGTCCAGTGTGAAAAAGAAGAAGAAATCAAAGAAGAGATCGGAGTAGAAAGCACTGAACACGCTTGCAACATTCATTCAAATAGCATTTCTAATTGTTTAAATATAATAAAATATTTTTAGGGCACACAAATGTTGGTTTTTATAAGCGCTGCACACTAAAAAGAAAATGATCATTGCTTCCGTTTATGACTAGAACCAAGTTCCTCTCTATATATTTACATTCGTCTGCTTTGCATGAAACTTTCTTTTGGTTTAATCTTTGGTACCCGGTTAAAAATAGTTTGAAATACGGGGCTCAATGCGGTTCGGTTCAAACACAGTTTGCCGTCTTGGTTATTTATGCTTAGTATATTAAACTGGGAATCTGTGATATATGTTTTGTTATGTTCTTGACCTAAACAATAATTTTTTAATTATAGACTATTTTCTATCTCTAAAAAATCCGAATGTAATTAAATTCAAATCAAACCATTTGATGAAGTCGAATAGTCGACCAGGTACTTTAGTGAGGTATAAGACCAACTAATAGTTAAGCCCTACCCAGGGATCAACAAACAAAGCGCGACAAAAAAAAAGTGCTACCTCAGTCAAAGTACCGTATACAAACATTTAAAACACAAAATTTTTGTTATACCCTCAACCCATCAAAAAAATGGGTAAAATGGGTAAAATGTATTTGTGCAAATGTATGTAACAGGCAGAAGGAAGCATGTCCGACCCCATAAAGTATATACATATAGTCTTAATGAGCACCAATAGCCGAGTCGATCTAGCCATGTCCGTCCGTCCGTTCCGATATGCGATAACTTGCCCCGTTTCCAAGTAATTGATTAAAAACGATATCCAAAAAGTGCAACCGCGTGCGAGCGTAAGAGAGCAAGCTTTAGCAATTGAGCTATAAATATAAATGTTTATTACTCAATCTATAATGGCCGATCGCCCATATTCAGCCGTAGTGTGTGTGTGTGTTGCGAGTGAGCAGAGCTTTCGTGCGAGAGCTTTTTCCTAGTCTCACTAACACAAGCATAGCACTAGCCAATAGGAGCACAGCAGGTTCTGGCAAGCCAGTCACTGCCCGTGACAGTGCTGATACAGCTCAGTCACCGTTTCCCCTCCTGTTCACCAAAGTCACTTTTTACGAAAATATTGTTGATTTTTGTAATTAAGTGCAGGTTTCTATTTTTGATTATATTAATTAATAATTAATATTAATGGCGTCCAACAATTCAAACCATCTCTATTCTTCGTCTTCAATTTATAACCGACCGCAAAATGATCGTGATCACCACGACTGCCTGCTCCCTAGGAACGACTACGGTAGCGTCGTCCCTCGCACGTGGCATTGGCTTTCTGGGCCCCTCTACCCCTGCTACGGGTCCGAACCTCCTTGCCCTTTTGAGCAAATCCCCGCCTAAGACTGTAGCCAGGTATCATTTTCTATATTTTCATGAAACTCAGCATTTACGAGCTTCACTGTGCTCACATATCTGTAAGACCGTAAGGCGAGGGTATTGCAAGGGTATTAAATCTTCGGCGTGCCGAAGCTATCCTTTCTTTTTCGTTTTTGTTTGCATTTATTTAAAAATCAGCTCTTTCGAGCCTAAAAAAATTGCCTCAACGTGAGCGTAGCTCACACAGGGCGAGTTATTGGTTAAAGTTTTCAACTAGCAATAATCGCAACTCGGCTGTGACCTCATTGTTTGCGATATTGCCACTGCACAAGGTTGTGCTTTGATCAGTGAAACGCTTAACAGATATGCACGGCGTTTGCTTTAACCGTTTGGGAATTATTGCTGAAAATGAAAAAGCTTTAAGGGTTGCTTGCTAGTTAACTCTAACTAACCCCCCCATTCGAATGATCATAAAAGCCTAACCGGTTTATCAGACCAAGCCCTGACCAGTTCCACTTCCAACAAGCTGCATCAATCGCAGACAATGTCAGCGCACCCTGGTCGCAGTTAAAGTTTAAAACTCTATCAGGGTTTGCCGCACTCGGTAACCCCCCAGCTATTGAATTTTTATGACCTAACAAGCAATTGCTTGTCTTCCACGCAACTTGATGATGACCCTTGCCCGCATCAGACATTCAACTTTGATGGCCTTCAGGAACTACCAAAAAAAAAAAAGAAGGGAGTGGAAAACGGGTAAGAGTCAAGAGTCTGCAGTGCGTTGTGGCCAGATATTTGGATTATGCAAGTTAAGCGGCTTGCCCGCAGTGCGTTCGAAATTGTAAGCTGCTTTAAGGCCAGACCCGGGGCCAACAATTTGCCTTAAAGCCGATGCTTAAAACTTCCCGACGCTTTCACCTTTGCCAATTTGGCGCCTTTTATGGCCTGCTTTTAGCCATCTCTCGATGCCATCAACAAATTGCCCCGTACTTACCAAATGGCCAAAACTCTTTCTATTGTGTTTCGTAATTTAAATGGCCATTTTATGGTGCGGGTCATAAAATGCGCAAATAAGGGTTAATTATGTCGCGCAGTTGACGTTCCAAGTGCCAACAAAAGATGCTCAAAGTGGCAATTGCCTAATAGGAATCTTAATGAGCAGCTACTAAATTCCGTCGGCCGAGTAATATTGCCAACAAATTCGACTCTGTATGAAAATTAAAAAAGAAATTAAATAAAAAAGAAAAAAATACGTTGATATGGATATAATCTAACCTACTTTAAAGGTTTGGTTAGAAATTAAAATGTGGTTACATGAAACTTATTAAAAAGAGCAAGATAAACCTTTTAAATTTCACAAAAATGTATAAAATTAATATAAATATCGTATATACGGAAGTAGCATAGTGGGCTAAACGTGAACTTTGGGGATCGCAACCCCTTGGAAAAAAAGCACATATGAAACTACATAAAATACCATTTAATGGCCAATCTGACAAACGAATACAAGTGTTTCGCAGACCTGTCAAAAATGACAGACCGAAACAAGCTTATTAGCCCATGTCAAAAACGCCCACAAAAAAACTTTTGCCTCTAAACGGATGAAGTCAATATCAACACCGTAAAACAACAACAACAATAACAAAAACAACAACCAGGAAACACAAACCCAAAATCCAAACTCAAACCCAAATCTCAACCCAAGCCCATAAAAACAGACGCAGTCGATTGCCTCATCGTCGAACCGGAAACAATTGACTCGATTACACAGCCCGGAAAAAAAATAGCACAACCTGACAACATAAACACGAGGCACCAATAAAAAGAAGCAAAAAAAAAAGGAAGAAGGAAGAGCAAAAAAAAAGGGGATACAAAAAAAACGCACACATTGTAGCCAGTGCAAAGAGTGCGTGTGCAGCATTGCGGGGGAGAGTGAGATAGAGCGAGAGAGAGAGAGCAAGCGAGAGCGAGCTGTTTCCGGTTTGCTTTAGTTGGGTTAACCTCAAACTCAGTCAACTTTTTACCTTGTTTTCATGCAACTTTTAGAGGTTATATTCGTTTTGTCATGAAATGTGTGACGCGTAATAATATATTATTTATTATTACTATATTAATATAATCTTTATTATTACATTTATAATAATAATAATTTTTTAAATAATAATTAATAATCTATTATTTATAAATAGTATAATAATATATTGTTGATTATTAATATATTAATATATCCTTCATTTGTAATATATTAATATTTGTTTATTATTAATATATTAATGTTATTTAATATTTATTATTATATTATTTATGTTTATTATTAATATAGTCTTTATTATCACTGCGTTATTATATTTTAATTATTTTTATTTTAATATTCTCTTTTTTTTATGTTCCTTACTAGTAATTATTTAATATATGTTTGTTATTAATATTAAATTATATATTCTTATTCTTATTATTTAATTGATATATTATATATTATCTTATCCTGTATTCTTATTAATATATTATTTATTAGTAATATTATTTTATTAATATATTAAAATATTCCTTTTTATTGATATTTTTTTATTATTAATATATTAATATATTCTTTTTTATATATTATTATTACATATAATTACATATTATATTCTTTTTATGAATCTATTAATATGTTCTTTATAAGTAATATTTCTTTTATCTTATAATATATTAGAATTAAATTTAAATATATTATTTATTAGTAAAATATTAAAGTTTCTTTATTATTAATGTATTAATCTATTCTTTATTAGTAATATAATAATATTTCTTTATAGTTAATATATTAATATATTATTTTATTTCTCCTTGTTTATCTTAATATATTTTTTACTTCTGATCAATAAGTAATGTTTATATGAAGCTGGTTGTCGGAATCTTTTTGTCACTTGCTGTAGTTTAATATAACTTCTATAGGAAGGATCGGAGATAAATTAATTTACTGTAAAATAGTTTTGTTTTGTGTTTCAAGATATTTTTGACAAGCTTGGAAATTAAGAACGTATCAAATTGGTTCACCATATAGGACCCATATAAACCTACGTCCGGTTATAGCTATTCTAATTAATCCAAAGGCCATAAGGGTATTTAAGCTTCGGCGAGCCGTTTATTTGCATTTTCGTCCACGTTTTGATTTGTGTATGTGTATGTGTGGGGGTTTTTTTTTATAGTTTTTTGTTGTTTTTGATTTTACTGTTTAATTGCAGTTTTTCTCATTTTTATTTTTATTTTTTTTTGTATTTAACCACATTTTGAAATGTTTTCGCTTTTTTCTTCTCGCCATATGTTCGAGAGAAAAAAAATACCGCAAATAGTTTTATTGTGTTTTGCATTTGTGGATGAAATTTTAATTGTTATTTATAGTCGGGCATGCAAGTTTTATAGAACATTTTTAGCTATTGTTGTGCTAATTGGTTGAAAGCTCGAGACGAGCTGTGAATAGAAAATATTCGTGACATGTTGCTGAAGGCATGGAATTAAATTCAACTTGCGTACAAATTGCGTACAAATAGATTTTGGCTTTTAATATTTGCGAGTTTGTATGTGATTTATATTTAAATATTATAATGTTTTCTTTTATAATAATATGCATTTAAACTTAATTAAATTTATAACAGTCAAAAGTCTAATATTTTTAATTTTACAAGTTTTTTTTCTAGATGATATAAATATTTGTATACAAATTTTATTTGTTTTTATTTGTCATATTTTC